TATCAAAGCATAAAACATACAAAATAAGGGAAGTTGACGAAACATCAGAAAAGTTAAAGTCATCACGTTTATCGCCGTGTGCTCTTTGTCATGAAATTGGATAACCTGTCGTCAATTCATATATAGTGGAAAACAATCCAAGTATGAAAAACAGTCACCATTTGGTCAATGATAAATTGTATTTGGATTTGGATTTCGACCATAAAACAGGATGAAGACTTTTTATTTTTGTTTCATCAATTTGCTTGTCAATAATTTACTTCGTTTTAGCATATTATCATTAAAGTGATTAAGATATATATTCAAGGTGATGAAGATATATCATAAGTAAAAGTTCGATAGAAAAGTTAAAATATCACGTTTATCATAAAGCTTAGCTGTTAGATTACCATTAACGTTTTTTTTTTTCAAGTAAAATATCCAAGTATGAAACAGATGTGTCAAAAATATCTCAACGTGGATTTTGATTTCAAACAACAGGATAAGATTTATTTTTCAACTGAATACAAATTCAAAGGGTTGAAGATTTCAACTAAGAATTAAAAGTCGAATATCACGTATACTGACATATACACTGTACTTAACCATGCTATCCGAATTATTAGTCTTCTAAATAGTGTTTTTCAAGTAAATAGGAATTCAGTTTCATTTTATATATACATTTGTAGATCATTAATTTTTTTTCTGATAAGAAAAAAGTCTAAGCTCTAAATGTTTAGAAAACACCATTTTCGACAAACTTTTAAAGCAAAATTCAACAAGGGGAAATTTCAAAGAAAAAAATATTAACATTCTGGATATGCAGCTTTTATTTGAAGATACATGTATTTTAAGCAGAAAATGAAAATCCCGCAGAAATCTTTAACATAAGTGTATCAAAGTATGATCTAATATTAAATTTTGATATTTGTTCATTCTCTACTTGGTCAATGTCAACTTAATAATTTTCAGAATAGGAACTCATATAGATGGGTTTTTCTAATAGAAAGACGATCTTCCGATTCGTTCTTCTGTTCCTTTAAGAAATGGACTTTGCGCACTTGACCGAAGCTGAGCACCACATGCATTACTTACGAGATTGAAAATTTGATGATATATTCAAAATTGGTCGTCAAAAACATGTCTCGTTATCTTTTTTAAATTAATATTTTTTTAGAATTGAACACAGAGATATCAAAGTACAAAATAGGGTAACGGCCAAATCCGGCCCCTTGTTTGATGTAAAAATCAGAACACTGGTTAAATTGTGATAGTTTGTAGTAAGGACTTATAATGATGCTTGCTTTAAAACCAGCACTAATTTGGATTCAGAGCTTACATGGGAGCCACAAGAGGGTGCCGAAGTAGGGCATTTTCCCGAATTTACTTAATTATGGTAGAATTTCATCATATTTGAGATACTCATCTCTTCAAAAAACATAGAGTACAAGCTTGCCTTTCTGAGATTTTTACAAATAAACTGCATCTGACACTAGTGTATGAAATATATAAATTTGTTAGATAGGCAAGCGTGTGCTCTATGCTTTCCGAAACAAAATGTGCTGTAAAACCGATTAAAATTTGCATAAAATGAGAAAAATCGAAAATTGACCTATTTCCTGATCTCACTGTGACTTTTATGCATTTCAAAAATTAAAATCGATGCTAATTTTGTAGCAGGGGTGACAGCAGATTTTTATTTTTAAACTGTTGCATCATTCTGAAAGACACCCAAAATCAGGGGTCAAAAAGGGGTCTTACTCTATCTCGTCCTTCATCTGTCTAAAATGAACATTTTATTGAAAATTTGGCGCTTAAATAATATAGAAATACATGTACTCTTTATTTATCCACAAGGACGGAAACTAAATCGATTTTGATATTTTTTCCTCCATAGTCTTAAATTTGAGTGCATTATTTTATGACCTTTTTATAGTCATCCGTCCTGTATTTTTTAATTGTACGCTATTTAAAATCTGGTAACATCTTTTTCTGGTTAATAGATATACCACTGATGTTGGTGTGAGTGAAATAAATAAAAAAAAATGAACATGGCAATAAAGTTCATTGATAATCATTTTTATTTAACTTCTTTCATTAAATTTCAATAATAGCTAAAATTCTTTTTTCTCATGGGTGATGCAGCATCAATATGCATGAGCAATGAATGTTTAAGCAAATGAATTGAATTTGATTTTCTGCTCTAACAATTTCCTTCATACTACAAAACACTAAAATTAGTTATCAACTTATAACATAATAGACCCTTTTCTGCTTTGATGACAGACAAAACAGAAGTAAAATTCAAGGTATATTTCTTGCAACACTCATTCAAAAGTGTTAAAAAAAACAAATCCATGAAAAGAAAACAATTTGTTATATAAAATTAACCAGAAGGTTGTAGTTTAACTAGTGAAGGGCGAATGGCTCATTGTTTATATTTTTAGAAATATACTTCTAAAATCCATCTTAATAACAAATTTTGGAAATTACAATCTTATATATTCCATCTTTTATAATGTGCATAATAGATTCATGATAAGAATTGTTTTTAAACAAAAATTAATTACAAGAAGACTGCGTTTTTACAAATTTTGGAAATGTATTTCAGCTTTATACTTCGTTTAACTTTTTTTTTTGGAAAGATTTATTAAGATCAATCACAAATCAAGAAACACAAATTATTAACTAGTAATTTACATACAATTCATTCTCGCAGTTAGTATTTTCTGATCCATATTTATCTTGATTAAAGGGATCAGAAATAGAAGAATCATGATATTCTGGTGATGAATTTGCTTCCTGTTTTGGATAACACACGTCAAAATATACATCCTCTTCAGCCTCTTCACGCCCATTCCCTATTTGCCTGTCTTGAGTTTCGTCTAGTTCCTGCATTTGACTCTGCTCGGTAACTGTATAGTCAGGTCTTTCCGAAATCATTGCTGGTTTTTCTTTATCCCCTTTTCTCTTTGAAACACGTTGCTTACTCTGTTTGGATACCACAGGTGGACGCCGTCTATTCATCTCATTTGGTTTTTTCTGCTCTTTTATTTTCTCAATCCCCTCGCCTTGCATATCAAGATAATCGTTTTCTGCTTCATCGTCTTTCTTAGAGTCCTCCATTGAACTCGAAATCTTCATCTCATCATGTTTGGTAGTTAAAGTGGGAGTAAAATGAAACCTTTTTCCTTTTTCTACTCCCATCTTTCGTATTCTGTCCTCATGCTCGGATGGTGTATATGGACATTCTTCTGGAAACAACATTGGTTTTTCTCTCTTGCCTAATCTCTTATCAGAAAATGTGTTTGTGTCTTTATAGCTTACTCTTAAGTTTAAATGACTGTATATTTCAGATGAGTCGTGACCGCCTGGTTGTTGTTGGGTTCCGTTTGGTGTGTATCTGGTTTGTGTCTCAGATGAATGGTTTGTTTCTGTAGAGAATAGAATGTACTTTAGAATTAAATAGCAGGCTTGTTTTGGTTAAATTTGAATGAAATATATATGGATATAGATAAAGCTCAGGGTCCATAAAACGATACAAATCTGGGAAAAGAGAAAGCACGGACTCCTAAAACATCAGAGGTTGTATCAGGTGCCATGGAGGAGTGAGCATCCCCTGCCGACCAGTCACACGCGCCGTGTTCTCTTTGTCATGATCGGAAAAATAATGGAAATATCGATAACTTTTTAAGTACACATTATTTTTAGGCATAATGAAGGAAATGTAAGTTGTAATAAATAGTGTACAATGATTTTTGAAGACTTTTGTAAAATACAGTCATATGATATGGACTAACATGTATGAGAGGGTTCAATAAATGAATAAATTGTTTTTTGTTCTCTGCTTTTGCGAAAGCGAGGGGACCTTAAATCTCATTTGTCTGTCCGTCTGTCTGTCTGTCAGTCTGTCATTCTATCAATCTGTCTGTCGGTCACAAAAAACTTTAACCTTGCCCATAACTTTTGATTTAGTGGAGTAATAACTTTCATATTTTATATGTGTATTCCTTGTGACAAAACCTTTCTTTGGGTACCACCAAATTTGACCTTTTGATCTTGACCTTGGAGTTTGACCCACTTTTACACAAAAAGTCCATGCTTTTCTTTTGGCGATAACTTTTAAAGGGTAGATACACATGTATTTAGTGTGGTAAGACCTTTCATTGGATACCAACAACTTTGATCTATTGACTTTGACCTCGGAGATTTCTGTACTTATGAAAAAACTTTAACCTTAACAATAACTTTTGAACGCTAAGGGCTAGGGCTTTAACACTTCACATATGTAATCCTTGTGAGAAGACCTTTCATTGGATACACAGAACTTAGGCCCTTTACCTTGGAGTTTGACCTACTTTTAAAAAAACAAACTTTGACCATAACTTTTGAAGAATTATGGCTAGGGCTTTCATACTTCAAATTTTTAATTCATGTGAAAAGACCTTTCATTGGATACCAAGAACTTTGAACATTTGATCTCGACCTTGGAGGCTTTTATTTAAAAAAATATTTACCTTGGCCATAACATTTGAACGGTAAGGGCTAGGGCTTTCATCCTTCTCATATGTAATGCTTGTGACAAGACCTTTTTTAAGGAACAACACCTATGACCCTTTGAACTTGAATTTTGACATACCTTTCAAAAACGTATCCTTGGCCATAACTTTTGAACAGGTGGTGCTAGGGCTTTCATATTTCAGAATCGTATTTCTTGGGAGACGACCCTACTTTGGTTACCAATATATTTAATTTGTATTTCTAAGAAAAGCTCAATCTTGGCTATGTGGCCATAAGGGGTCATCAGTGTTTCACAAACACATCTTGTCCCTTATATTGAGAAGAGATATGGTTTTCCTATTTGACATGTGCATTACATGTGACAAGAGATTTCCTAGTATGCTATGATTTCTGACCCCTTGACCATTGACCTTATTGAAAAATTCAACTTCGGTGATAATTTCTAAATGACATATGAGAGGGCCTTCATATTTGACACAATATGTCTCACCCTCAAAGACACCGAAAGTGGGGGACCACAATTGTTTGAATTTGCCTGCTTAAATTCTAGCCATCATGCTTACCCTTTTTAACGTTCTCATTCTTTTTCTTTTGATAAACTCTACAAAAAATAAAGATAATTATTTGAATAAAACATTAAAATAATTCAAACTAATCGCATATATATAATGCAATTTTTTAATCTAGCAACATACCTTATACAAATGTGTCCAATAATCAGAAAAACAATGACAGACAATAGTGAAGGAATTCCAATTTTGACGACATATGAACTGGACTGATACGCTGAAATTACGTAATTTAGACATATATATATATATAACGCCATATTTTTCTTCAAATTAACATTTCCTGCTGTAATCATGTTTCGAATAATGTTTGATTCAAAAATTAAACCTCTATATATGCTCTAGGTGTAAGGGACCTAAATTCAATTTAATTTCTTCTTTTTTTCACATTCATAACTTGAATTAAAATTTTAAAAAGTAACTGTGTTAAATCTACCAGGGATTATATTTTTTGATAGAATATGGCCATGGAAAAAATAAATTTTTAAAACAAATTTTAATCTTGATAGCCAGCAGCAGAACATTTTGAAACAAAATAAGTAAAATAAATAATTTCTTCACTATTACATGTTTTAAAATAATCGAGTAAAATCGTATATATAAAGCATTTAAAACTTTAAAAACCTTTAAATACCAGCAAATTTATAAATATATGCATAAATAAACAAATTATGTGATTTTATGAATTTACACCTTAACGCATGGATTATGATTAAAACAGCGTCACGTTTTATCTTTGCTGGAATAGGAAGTATAAATTTAGGAATTTCATTGATACACATTCTTTAGTCTCCATAAACAATCGAAGAACAATTGGCACCCCTATTTCCATGTTTTATATTTTCAGAAAATCTCAAAGTTTACAGCGTCTTTTGTAATTTAGCATGTTTTTTTCGATCACATAAGACTTCGCTAAGAAAAAATTTGTATACTTAAGATATGATGATATTTTTATAATCTTTTTTTCTTCTATGGTCATTTCAAATCTTAAAGGTGTCATTACAACATCGAATTAAAACGGAACTCTTTTAACATAAAATTGCCATTTTTCGTGTGTTGTGTTTACCACTTTTCCATTTTGAACGAGAAACTGCCAAAAATTAACCAAATGCCTTAAAATTTTTACAAAGACTACACTTTTGTGGAATTGAATTAGCATAATTTTAATCAAATCTTATGTATTTAAAACTTTTATTTTAAATTCCTTGTGTACTCTTTAATAAAGATTTTTATAATTCAAAATTGATGTAATAAAAATTTTGACTAATTTTAAAAAAAATTATCATGCACTTAAATATGATAAATAAACATTTAAAATTTTCTTCATTACTTTTTGAGAAAAACGTTTTGAGAGGGACAATAATAATCAAACGTTAAAAACAAAAATAATCATAAATTACGATAAAGATAACGTATATAGATCATTTCATTTGTGAAATTCTATTTTGAAGGGGAGGCGGTAATTGATGTTTGTGAGTATTTTGTATCTCCAAGTATTACTTAATCGATATGTCTCTTGATTGTTGTAAATGATCAGACTGATTATCATATAAACAAGGGATTTCTTCATTTTTGTGTTAAGTATTATTGCATTTCAAAAATTAGAACGTTTTATGAAAACATTGACAGCATGCATTTAAAACAAGTACCTTGCTCATTACTACTGGTTTTCGTTGTAATCTTAAATAATTTTGTTAGTTGCGTGTCTGTTGTGTCTGGTTCTGAAATATCAAATCAGTATTTTATTCATAATAAGTGAAAATATCAATTAATTTCGTCTTAAATTAGCTACATGACTTGCTGGGCATGTTTAAGCAAACTTGTTTTATACAGATCGAAACATGGTTCAACTGTTTGGTCAATATGTACATACAATTTGCATACTATAATGATATAAGGCAAGAACACATCTTAATCAATTTTATCTAAGGTATTCTTTTATATTAACTGACTAAAACATTAAAAAAACATAAAACAGAAATGAACCATTGGCATCTGTACAATTTTCACTGGTGACGTTACACAGACAACCTCTTCTACTATCGCAATACTGAAACGATGAACATTCACATTTATGGAAACATCTTCGCCCGAAATAGTTGTTTGGGCACGAAGAGGAACAATTAATACCCCTAAATCCGGGATCACATTCTGAAATATGTATACATGTACTTTAATAATTAGCTTTCTGGAATTGAAATTATCGTAATATTCATCAACGTGATTCAATAAAAGGAAAAAAAAAATATATTCTTTTGTGATAAAGAGACGTACCAACGCAGATATTTCCATCTTGTTTATAATCTTTGCAGCAACTCTTAGTTGATCTTTAAATAATAATAAGAATAAAATAAAGAGACCTATAATATTAATGATAAAAATAAATGCGTATTTTCACAAACTTAAAAAAATTGAAATTGTACTCACTTAAATAAGCATACATTATCTCCAACAAGATCTTGACGAGTTAATGAGATACATAACAAATAAAAATACCAATAAACCATAAAGGCCATTTTGTTACGAGAACATAAATGTTAATCTAGTGTGATGCTATGATGCTAATGGTTCACAATCCTTGTCAAAACATTTCAAAGAAATATGTTCAAATTAACAAAATGATACAATAATACACTTCGAAATTGCGCTTGTTCAAAACGATGTTTCCGTTCTTATATTCAAAACGATATAAAAACCAGGAAATTTAACGGAGTGTGATTTTCTTCCTTACTGTTAATAAAAAATTAGAGTTTGCAAAATTTAAATATAACTTTGTCCTGGAAAAAAATGAAAGATGCATAAATTCTTATTGAAGATAACCCAAGGTGAATGAAACCCACTTTGTTTTACGAGAAAGAAGGGATATAATAGACCTCGCCGTTGTTTCGATATGCAAAAAAAAAACCTTTTTTCATGAAAATTGCTAAAGTGAGGTAAGGTATTGACAAACAAGTTTATGGAACAAGAATATCAGGAGTCACGTTTAAATTCATCATTTTGTTAGTTCTATAGTCAATACAATGGCCTTGTCAGCGATCGAATACAATCTATCATTAAATCATTTTATCATTGAGTCAAATGCTGATTGACATTTTTTCATACTAATTGTTAGGCCTTTATTTACACTGAATTTTCGACGGTTTTTTCGTTATTCCTTGATCATGACAAGGAGCACACGGCGGATGTGACCGGTCGGCAGGGAATGCTCACTCCTTCATGGCACCTGATACCACCTCTGATGTTTTGTAGGTCCGTGTTTGATCTACTCCTATTTTGTTTTGTTTTATGGAATTTTGATCTTGAATATTTTCGTTGTCTCCATGTGTTACATTCACACATTTCTGAGCTATGGGATGAAACTCAACAATAAACAATAAATTCCTTTGATTATTTATCTAAAAAAAATATTCAAAGGCTTACCATTATACAATCCTTGATATGAAAAGATACATTATGATGTGGTCTCGCTACACCGACTGTCTCATTTTTTGTCACATTTTTTAACCACGTCATTTATGAAATCTTCTTCTGTGGTAGTTTGGGGGACATAAACTGGAACTGTTGATTCTTGTGTGACTGGACTACGTCCTGATTATATTGAATATTCATATGGTTTGCACGAGGATCCTCAACCATGCAGTGTTTATATAAGTATAAATTCTGGTTATAACATATGATATACCGAGATTTATATTGGATTCCAGGTTTTGTTCTTGTAATCGTGGATATATAGTGCATCAATAATATATAAACTGTTTTATTTTGGATAAGAAACATACACAAAACCAATATTTGTTTGTTCTTTGTTCAATAATAAATATTTTAAGTTTAAAATGACTTGTTTATAGCTCTTTCATTTCATGATTATGTCTTCTTAACAATTTTTTTCATACAACTAGGAGACTAATTGTTCTCGAACAATTAGAGGTCTTTCCACCCTCTTTGAATTTTAATTACATTTCATATTTATTCCTTTGAATTTAAATTTCATTAAAATGTAACCAGAAATGGCTTAAAAGATGAAAATAATTAAATTTTAAAAAAAATTTGGAAATGACTTTGACCTTTGACCTTCAAACAATTTTCAAGGTCAAAGGTCAAGGGTCACATTGCAATTAACCCCATGCCTCTATGACTTATAGTTTTAAAGTTCTGAGGTTTAATAGTAAGCACAAAAGCGTTAAAGGGCAATAACTTATTTAACGCATCATCAGATCCTTTAGCAGAAAGACATAAAAGTTATGACTAAAGTCCCTTAACACATTAGTGAAGATTTCATGTCTTTGCGTTTTACGGTTACGTAGTAGAAGCAAAAACAAGGTTTTTCATACAAAGGGCGATAACTTTTAATAGGGTCAATCTTAAGGGGCAAGAATGAACTCTTTGAAATAGTTTGAAAAGTACATATTAAAGATGCAAAGATAAATTGTATAGGTTAAAAGACAAAAGAGATGGAAATGGAGCTTAATTTCTTAATTTTGGAATGACCTTGACCTTTGACCTTTGCATAAATTTTAAGGTCTAAGGTCATTGAATCTTATGCAGTTGGTCCCTTGTCTCTACAACTTCTCACTTTCAAAATATTTAATTATTTGTAAAATTCACAAAGTTTCAGGGGCTATAACTCATTGAAGGGGTCTCCGAATACTTTCGCTATGAATAGATTCCAGAGTCCCCTTAAAATGTCGAAAACATTAATGAAGGTTTCATGTCTCTACGGTGTACGGTTTCGAAGAAGTAGCGATAATAAGGATTTTCACATAAGGGGCAATAACTTTTAAAAGGGTCAGTCTTAGGGAACATGAATGAAATCTTTGAAATAGTTTTAAGAGTACATATAATTGATGCCAAGACATTTAGTATATGTTAAAAGACAAAAGAGATATAAAAAAGGCTTAATTTCTCGTTTATGGAATGACCTTTGACCTTTGCATAAATTTAAAGTTCAAAGGTCAATGAATCTTATGCAGTTGGTCCCATGTCTCTACAATTTCTCGTTTTGAAAATATTTAATTATTTGTAAAATTCAAAGACTTTCAGGGGCAATAACTCATAGAAGGGGTCACCGAATACTTTCGCAATGAATAGATTCTAGAGTCCTCTCAATTAGTCGAAAACTTTAGTGAAGGTTTCATATTTCTACGGTTTACAGTTTTGCGAAAGGGGCAATAACTTCAAAAGCGGTCATAGTTCATACGCGTTGGGTCAAATTCGTTCCTAACTTTTAATGACCTTTACGATGAACAAAAAGTCTTTTCGATAAATGTCGTAAAAAACAAAAAGTAGCGGAAGAAAAATAAGAATAATAGGGAAGAAGAATAATAATAAACAGAAGAAAATCAATAGGTCTTTCCACAGAAAGGTGGAAAGACCTAATTACTTTTTTCATTCTTTGAGTAGATAAAATCAAAATTTATAATTCATTACTTTCGATTTATCTTTACAATTGTTATTGGCAAATTTGTTATTTTCGCAGTACATATATATCATGTTCATAACTCAAGAAGTATAGATGCAAATATCCAAGTATAAAGAAAATTATCATGTAATTTTAAATGCCGTATGCAATGCGATAGCATATAAAACGGTGCTTGCAAGAGTTCGGGTTGTTTTCTTATAAAAAGGAATGCGGATTTAGAGCAATAAAGTGTGTGTGTTTAGTAAAAGACGACCCAGGTGTTCAGATATATTCTACAGTTTAAGTTCACAGGCTAACACAAGGAATTTAATAAAAGGAAATTAAAAAAAAAAAAGTACCAGGAAAACGTCAGAACAACATTTAGAAATTGCTTACAAAAGTTTAACCTGACTGCTTAAAGTTCAGTTAAAAATATGTATGTAAGAAATGTTTAATTCATATTTTAAATAATTGTAAAATTAAAGTATTTATATACAGAACTCCCCTATATTTTTTTTTTTTTTTTTGTTGGTGGCAGCTGTTGTTGTTCTTGTTTTTGATACAAGATCAATGGATTGTAATTTTTAAAATATTAGTAAATGGATTATTTTTAGAATAGCTGAAGGCTCAGGTCAGATTTCGAATTTGTTAAATTGTGTTTTGAGCTCAATACGAGATAAATTCTTATGTGTAACAAGCATACATTGAAAGTTTTAGTAAATCAAAAGGTTTAAGTTCATTCCCTTAAATATCCCTTAATAGTTTTTTTGTGTAGAATAAGGATAAAACTCCTATGAGCAATAACACGTGCTTTGAATAGAGTCGCACAAAGAGATCCTCAGATGGTTTTTAAGTGCCATAGAAAAGTGGAATGATAGGAAAACGTAGCAATTAAAAACGCACTTGAAAATATTCTTAATATAATATACATACAAGTCTGTTTTTTAGTATAGATTCAGGAAATAATGTGAACTATTTTCGTCGGATAATGATCAAAGTTAATTTGACTGAACCTGAACAAAATAATAACCTTCGTTTGTTAATGATCAAACATGAAGATAAAATTAATCCATAAAGATCAAAAGTCAATTGGAACAATACAAATAGTGAAGAGAGGTAACAAGGACCCTAAAGCAACAGAGATGGGATAAGGTGCCTTAAAAGTAAAGGAACTGTCGAATAAAACAATTATCTCGGACTTCATGATGATGAAGTTGGCGATGATTTGTTGCATAAGCTCTTTATATTTTCCCTCTACATCTGGTCAAAATCTTATTGGAGCTAATATCTGCATAGATGATCATGGGTAAGTAAAACGCTTGGGGTGTCTATAAATAAAGTTAACATAAACTTTATGCAATCTAAAAATATTTGCTTAGGAAAGCAGCATGTCTTGAAACTAAATCTGTTTTATATTTCCATAGCTTTACAAGATGTTGCAGTGATTTATGAAAGTTGGAAACATGTGTATAGGTATTGCTTGAGTTCCTCCCTCAAATTATATATGTACTCTTTGGAGACCAAGACTAGTCTTTCAACAACCTGCTGCAATATCGATGTGCAGATAATTGCTTCTTTTCGCCGACCTGTTTTTATCAGAAGAAAAAAACCTTGCCTTGGCATTAAACTCAAAATTCTGATATCTCGTTGAAGTTTGAACTATGATGTTAACGCACTTCATGAAATATGCTGGCGTTAAGCGTCGTAGTTCATAACCTCATGAATCTTAAAAATTGAATTCATTTCTTAAATAAATATGATATTTTTAGATGAAAGTAAAAACAAAGCACCGGCCTATGAAGGACTTTAAGTTCTGTATCCTCTTTGTTAATCATCAAATGATGTTCAATTTTTTGCTGATAATTAGAATTGCTTTTCTTAAGGATTGTAAACATAAAAATTGGTTTAAAAAATTCAGTTGACACTGCGTCGATGTTCCTTTAATACAAAAAAGAAAGAACTTTAGAGGCGGTAAATTCAGAAATCAAGGTACATGTATATCAATTTAATAATTTTACTTATTTTGTAGATCTTATTTGATGTAGTGAACTTTCATAAGGTAAAAAAAATAAATAAATGCAGAAATAGTAGATTGAAGTGCAACTCTTTATATCTTTACTTTAGGTATTCATAAAAAACACATACTTTCCCATTCGTACAAAGATTTCTAATTGCAATGTAAGTTTTTCCAACAAAACTTGTAATTATTTGCTCAATTGCATAGAATGTAGATTTTTTAAAGATTCATTTCTTTGGACTATGCGATGTATGTGAAAAAAAAAAAAAGAAAAACCATTCAATTATATCAAAATCAATAACATTAATCTACATGTGTAAATATTATTTATATTGCATTTAAATAATTTTAGAATTAAAAAGTTTGTTTGTATCTGAAACTTTGATAATGTACATGTTTTATTTCAAATATCCAACTCATTATTGAGTAAAAACCGATAATAAGCATGTGTTTTGTTTGTTGATTTCGTTGATACCTTTGTTCTGCTGTTCAGCGTTTTCCAGAAATTATTTTCATCAAGCGCTTTATGAGTCAAAAAATAAATAGATGTACGAATTTCACGATAAAAAATTAGTTAAAGGGTCATGGACACAGTTTCAGCCAAAACATTGTCATTCCATTTTTTATGTTTACAAATACTGTACATAAAAAGGACATTTCTAATTATCATCAAAATTTTGAATTTCAGATGTCGAGATACAAGACAGATTTAGAGCTCCATACCTTTGTTACTTAAACAAGGCACGTGCCATCTTTTTTCAGAAAAGAAGTTAATTTTAAATGCAATTAAACAGTATCTATTGATTTGCTGAATCTCGTTTTGTCATAAATATTATATTTTCTATACGAAAACATAAACAAGGCACGAGCCTTGTTTACATTATAAAGAATTCTAAGTTCTGTATCACCTTTGTAAATCAACAAATGATGTTCAATTTTTTGCTTATTATTAGAATTGCCTTAGTTAGGAATTATAAACATTAAAAATGATTTTTAAAAATTCAGTTGAAACTGTGTCCATGCCCCTTTAAGAAAACAGAGTAAACCATAAAGGCATCGTCGCAAACGACTGCTAAAATGTACGGTCCTCTCCCTGGCCTTGATTGAATGAGAAAAGTATTATTCTTAGCTCATTAAAACATTGACCAATGGGAGTAAACCAAAGTTAGAAAAAAAACTTTGACGCGACCTTACAATACTCAAACGCAGTATGCGAAATATTTCTTGTATACTATGTTAATGTCATTTTTTTATTTCAATTACGATGGAAACATATTCATTTGCTGAATATACAGCAACAATAGAGAGTCGTAAATACCGGTATTCAAGATTACGACACTTTTTGTGATCAAGGAGCCCCGGGTAGGAGAGGGCTATATGCGGACTCCGGACCGTGGCTTGAGACGTTGCCATATAGGGTTACCAAATAGACCAACAATTAAATAGAATCTAAAAACATAGTAAAAGTGGTGTGAAATCGTAAATATGTGGAAATAACCATTTTAAGGACTTGATTATCTTTTTATGTATGAGATAGATGGCTAAAATAAACTGAGCCTACTGATCAATAGATGATTGGCTTGCCTTCTACCTATTCTGTAACGTCTTTAAACGCGTGAAAATTTATCGAATTGGACGTAAAAAAATTGATCAATTTTATTAATTTTGCTCATCTTTACATATGACTTACATTTCTGCTTAATAATACTCCCTTTCCGACTCCAAACGACTGTTAATGGACACTTAAACATTTGTAAATTAAAATTTAGATAACATTAACGAGGTTCGTACCTCGGGTTTTTAGTAGATTTTTGTCTTGACCTCTTTTTAAAAAAAGTTTTTGGTTCTTCCGATAAATTTGGATTCTATAATGCTAATTTAACTATATTCAGTTAAACCCCGTGATTAAATTCCATACCGAAAATATTTAGTGAGGAACTATATTTTGTGGCGGAATGTTTTTAAGAAGAAAAAGATAAAACTTTCCGATCTCAAAGTATTCAGTAATGTTCAGTTTGGATTCCTATTTTTAAATGCATCCTGCACACAGAGTAATTTTGATCAGTGAAATGCTCTATGCTGATCCTAAATTAGATATTAAATTAACTGTCATAAAATCTAACATAAATTTTATCACCATACATTGTGAAAGTATTCGAAAAAAAAATAACCCAATGTAAGCTTAATATTAGCACTTTTTTAGTGATATTTAAAATTCAACATCACATACCCACACTTTTCATTTTCTGATAATATAATATAATTCTTACCACTCTGCTTAAATTCGGAAAAATGTCATTACTTTCTAATGATTTTATTGCTTTTTAAGTCTTATTTAATTTTAACACATTTTAACATTTTTTGAGTGCAGAAAGGTCAAATAATTGATTATGCGAAATAATTTGAAATAATTTTTATTGTCACAATTTTTAATATGACTATTTTAGATGAAAAAAGAGTGTGTTTGATCCAATAATTCATTTGAATACAAATATTAAAGGAAAACTGAGAAAATTATTTTATGGTCAGACGTAATTACAGTGCAAAAAGGTCATTATGTATTAATTGCTCCGTACTGAACGGGGCGCAAAGAACCCTATTTTTCGTTTTGAATTTTTATCAAGCTTTGCGTGTAGATTCTAAAAATATACTTAAAAAATCCTGAATACTTTTGATAACAGGAACCAACCTCCTTAAGAGAGGAAGTGAGAAAAAACATTTACATGTACAATTAATGCAAAAGATTGTCAATACGTATTTGTAACATAAAAAAAGATATTCCTTTTTATCACATTGATGAGGTAATTTTTTCACTTATTGTTTTAGAAAACTAATATCATAAATTAATTCACTAATAAATGTTTGGGTTTTTTTCCTTTTAATCATTCACGTTACAAGACTTACCATCTGACTTTGAACAACTGTAACTTGTCTCGTTGCATTGACAACCTCTTTCAATATCACAATATTGGAATGGCAAACAGTCGCACGTTTGGATGCATCTCCTTCCATAATAGTTAGAGGGGCACTTAGAGGAGCAGTTAGTTCCCCAATATCCTGGGTCACATTCTGTAAGTACCATTTTTACGTCTTTATTTGACATAGAACAACATTTTTAAGGCGATGCTTCTATTGTTTCTGTATTGATGGTTACTTTGTGAAGATTACAAGGTAAAAGAGTAACCATTGCCTTTTTTAGCCTCTGTTTTTTTTTTTATTATTATTATTGAATCTTTGATTTCTTTAGAATGTTATATTAGATCAAAGAGTCAAGCAATCCAATGTCAAAAAGTATAGACATACCAACACATGTATTCCCTAGTTGTCTATAATCTTTGCAGCATACATAGGCAATTCTACAAAATTTGAATATATTTTATTTCTCACAATAAATGAAGGGAAATGCATGTACTTTTTTAAAATCATTTACTTTAACTTGTATGAAATAGATCTTACCGATCATCTAAATGCTCCAAACAAATATTTTCTCCTTTTAAATTTTTACAGAATACAAAAGAAACAGTTAAAGAATATAGAAGAAAATAAATGAATCTTAAAAGCATCATTGTCAAACACGTGCTTAAGTTTCCATATCCTCATCATAAAAATCGAATGTGACTTTGTTACGATATAGCCAAGTGCTATGCCTATATTTTTTCCGTTTAAAATTACGGACTTTTGAACACTTCAATGAAAACAATGTCAAATACTGGAACATTTCCTGCCCATAGGCAAACTAAGCAAATCTTAAAGATATTTCGACAATGAATTTCCTTTTAACTTGACTTTGTGTTCTTATGTTTCTCCGTAATTTGTCTGTAACGTGATTGTATCGTGATTATAGCATCATTGAAATGTGTGGCGATAACGAACAGTATTCGAGCTCAAAAGTCCATTAAACATTACAAGTTAGAAGTGGATCAAACACGAACCTCCAAAACATGAGAAGTTGGATCAGGTGCCATAGGGAAGTATTTAAATAAACAGTTTTTAGTAGTTTTCAATATGAAATATTTTGGCCGAAATGATACTATATAACACATGAAACATTGTGAGGTAATTTCCAAACATACAAATCTTAAATAAACCCGTTTAATTAATTTAAAAGTACAACAACAGCATTGTTCATTTGGGAAAGTTACAAATGCATTTATACAGGAACGCGAGAGAGTAATAACGTCAAGTTACATAATTTTTTTTTAAGAAATGGAGAGGTCATATATATTAAACGATTCGATTCTATGAGATACTAGTAATTCGAATCTACTTTTAAAGAAATGTTTTTGTCAATTTTACATGCTTAGCAAGATACGATAGTGCCGAAAAACCGACAAATAAACAGAATAAGTTAAGTTGCAATGTGAGTTAACTGTTAATTCTACAGAAACTTTATGCTTGGAAAATACAAATACAATTAAAAAAAACATAAAAACTATCTTATATGCCCATTAAACATATATTTTCCATCATTTTCTATCATCTTTGTGTTCACATTTTCAAACGTATTTAAATGAACAGTTTTTACTTTCGTTGTAGTTTTCAATATGAAATATTTTGGGAATCTACAACGTTCAATACTCTATATAACACATGAAACATTGTGAATGCGTGGTTTGTTGTAACAATATGTATATTCAATACTCTAGGAACACCAAGATTGATCAATTGTTTTCATTCAAATTAATTAAAAATTAATAACCCCGTTAGATTAATTTAAAAATGCAACAAAATTTGTCTTCTTTCATTTCATTGTTCATTTGCTTTATTTAGCTTTCCACGTCACTATCATTTCTAACGGTTTTTTTTAACGCACTGGTTCTGAAAGGCTCTGTATAAAGTCATAATGAAAAATTAAAAATTTCGAATGGCGAAAAGAGAATGTAATGTAAATTATGCATTCAAATCTTTATTTTGAATGTCGTAAGTCCTATAATGTCGTTAGTCTTATAACAGAGTCTGTTCCTGTGTGATATTCAATTTGTCGGCACAGCCAGGTACTGGTATAGAACTGAAGACATCCAAAAATAAGAATTCAATGCATATTATCATTAATATTCTAGGTTTTTCAAAGTACTTCTGTAAGGCATATATCACCTCTATATCGGTGAATACAAAGTTAAGTGGAAGACTTAGTAAAAAACGACACAGGTATCGACTAGAAACAGTAGTTTCTTACAATTCTTTTTAAATTTTTATTTCAAGAAATAACAACAGTTATATGAATTGAATATTAATGAAATTTAATCTCAAACAACATTTCTCATACATGTAACATGGCAAGAGCTCTAATAATATAAAAGTTTAATTTCTAGACTTATTTAAGGAATGACTCTAATTCTTGGCCAAATAAAATGTTCCATTCAACTTAATGCTGTATTTATATAATAATATCTTATAAATAAAAATGCTAGAAAATATTAACCTTAAAACGGTAACCGTGCCCAATATAATGTTTTACAAATTCATGACAAATGATTTAAATGTAATACTCTCGATGTTATTTCTCTCAAAATTGAGTGTATCATAAACTACATGTGTATATGATTTGATATACTTGTATGAAAATTAAAACAAATAGTAATTACACATGACATAACTTACTTGATTAAATGACTCCAAAAACATCATTTTACACAAAACTCGTACTCCAAGATACAGCTTAACGTGTGTAACACTGGGCATATTCATCCTCTTTATGTTTAAATATGGTATTTTTGTGACTTTTGTGTTGAACTACAGTATATATAACATAGAAAAAAATATATAGAACACAGCATTTCATTTTCGATTTATTTTTTTTATTTATGTTTCTTTAGGATGTATTGAAACAAAAATTTACTTTCTCATTTTTTCTTCACATCCTGTTTTTCAAGTAAAGTAACAACCGGAGAAAGCGCATCTCTTATTTGTTTCTGTGAAAACATAAAAAATATTTACATTTCACCCTTCTTGTAAAATATATTGGTGCATATTTCACGTGAGGAAAATGAGAACATATGGTCTCTTCTTCTAATAAAGTAAGTATTTTTACGATACTCTGTAGTGACAATATCCTCATCGCTTTTCACTATCAATAGATGATTAACGCTGTCTGACTAACGAGTTACTTGCTGCAATCATACTCTCGATGTTTATTTTCTTCAATCATAATCTAAATTTTAAAAACTGGTAAATACTTTTAAATGAACACTTCGTATTTAGATAAATTTATTTCATTTTTTTAATCTAAACTTAACGAGGCCGAGTCTAATTCGAGTGCGCATGACTTTGCGCAGCTTTTTTATATCCATGCAGTTATTTGTGCGACATTCGTGCAGTTATTTGTGCCATAAATTTTGATTTTATTACAAAAATAACATTATCTGTAAACCCTACTGGTCTGAAATTGTGATTTTACGACAATAACTACGGAAATGACTCTAACAACGTCACCATTTTTGGATTTTGTAAGTAACGCATGACGTTGAAGAATGACGCATGACTCGCTTGTATGTTCAAGACGTCCATGGATATTATACTAAAAACTGAAGACAGAATATCCTAAGAATCATACTACCAATCTAAACATTGCTCTTTTTTATATACCGAAAAAATCATACGCGCCGATTATTCATCTGCACTGATACGTATTTATACCGTATTATTGCAATTTTAAAGGTATTGGCTTTGAACAAAATAAAATAAGTAATTTATTCCTAAACCTACCAAAATGGTGAAATTATTTGAAATTTTGAAATTTTCACAATTTGGTGACTTTTTACAATAACGTTCATCTACTTGAATGAAGAAATACAAAAAAAATATGGGGGAAATGTGATAATTTGGCGCTTTTCCAACAATTTCCCATAGGTTCCAATAGTGAAATTTGACAACTTTTGAGATGGCCCCCTAAAAATCGGGATGGTAAACATTCGATTTTTTATCTTAAAACAATAAACATAACAGTACAAATTAAATATCAAAAAATTATCAAATTCCGATCCCTAGGGTAGAAATACACAGTAATTAGACTCAGCCTCATTAAAAACAAGATATATTTACCTTAAGCAGTTTGTGATTGTGATAAAAATCAAGGCAAGGAATGGCAGAGTTGACTGGATTCCTTTATGGACGGCACAATTATTGGAAGGTAGGGCAATATCTACAAATAAAGTTTTCATTTTAAAAGTCATCAATTATTTTTTGTTAATCGTCATAAAATGTAAAATACACACTGTATTGGTAATTGGTTCCCACTGTTCCTTCTCCAGTCGTTTCTTTTGTTTCTTTGTCTGAAAAAAAGATGTAAGTTTAGACTTTGGACCAACCTTTGTAGATCAGTTATTACTTGAATCATTTTTCATTAAAGATGTTTTCATTTTTAAATGATTCTATTTCTAGTGAAGATAAAATTGAGGATTTAAGAATTCAAAAGCTGTAAACCCACAATTAATGTCAAAATTGAAAAAAACTTTAATGTCCCTGTGGAGAATGTTTCACTCATATGGGGACACCACCACTTGCCGGTGGAGAGCTGTTAAGTTTTCCCTATACTCGGCACGTACACTCATTGAGCAGTGAGGGATCTTTTTTCGTGCCAGCACCTATTGCGACACGGGACCTTGCTTGATAGGGTCTCACCCTAGGACCGGTCTCCACATCCCACAGTTGGAATCAAACCAGCGACGTAATGATCAACTCGTAACTCTTTGACTCTACTCTAGAGCAGACGCTCTAGATAGACATTTTGCCATGCGGGTGATATATTTTCCTAGAGAAAGACGTTGATGTTAATCTAGCAACAACGACTGAAGATAAACGTGATGAAGTTAGCTTTTTCAATCGTCAACCTTCCTTACTAATGCAGCAATATACCTTCATTACCTGCGCAAGGCATTTATATATCTCTCAGTTAATTCGATAAGCTAGAATACGCTCTACGTATGAACATTTTCTAAAATGGGGTTTTTCATATTAAAAAAAACACGTTGATGGAACAAGAATATCAGCATTCTCATTTAAAGCCATCTTTTTGTAAGATCTATGGTCAATACACTGACCTTGTAAGGAAATAAAATCTATTATTAAGTAAAATGCTGACTGGCGTTTTTCATACCCATTATTAGATCATTATCTACACACTAAATTATTAAAGGATTTTTCATTTATTTCCCGATCATTACAAGGAGCACCTTCATGGCACCTGATTCTACCTCTGATGTTTCGAGGTGTGTATTTGCACTGCTCCAAAATGTATATTGTTTAAAAGACTTTTGAGCTTGAATACTGTTTGTTATCTCTATATATTTCATTTCATGCCAAACACTTCAGAATTATTTGCAAATCACTCAGCGATTTCTATAACATAGTACCTGCAAAGTCCCTTATTAGAAATATTAGACAAAGGTGGTAATGTGAATTGACTCGTTTATATGAAACGTTCAAATGGAAATTCGGTGTAAATTCCTTTTTTATTCATTAATGATCTTTAATAAATATACCATCAGACTCAGGACAATTTGCACTGGTCTGACTACATTGACAACCACTCTTTGCATCACAGTACTGAAATGGTAAACAGTCACATTTCTGGCTACATCGCTTTCCAAAGTAGTTTACTGGACAGGTCATGGAACAGTTGGTTCCCCTATATCCAGGGTCACACTCTGAAAATACAGTGCTTTATTTTTTTGTAATTATTATATTTTTTCACAGGTAAAGCATTGCTCAAGGAAACAATCTCGGTAATACGATTTTCCTCGTTTTTATGCTAATTTTAAAGAGGCCGAGTGGTCGTGGACATTTTTTGACTATTTCTATCTCCTTTAGACGAAGAGCTCTGTATAAAGATATACAAAATGATCAAGTTTTAAAACTAGCATGTATGAAATTTTTCTTTGTCAAATGTTAGTTGACAGCTAAATATATCATATCTAAATATTTAAGTTATATATGGTGGGAAATATTTTGTTAATTTGTTGACCCCCAGCCTCCTTAAACGATATTCTATATAAATTACATTTCAGAGACATTGTGAAGTACAAATTTTATTATTCTAAAAAGTTGTCAAACATCTTTTCTTTATGGTACACATACCTATACACATGTTTCCGACTTGTTTAAAATCCTTACAACAAATCATGACTGTTCTACAATACAATGTTCATAATATATATCTCAAATTTGTTGAGAAATTCATGTATTCTAAAAATATTTTTTACCCTTAGGAAACACTCCACTTACCCATATCTACATATATTACTTCCGGTTAAATCTTGGCAAGATAACATAGACATGATTAAAGTGTACACAAAGAAGAAAACTTTAAGTCGCATTGTATGGCAATAATATAGATACTGTATCTTAAATCTTTTTTTATGAACAGTTTATTATTTTTTTTAAATGTTTCACTTGTAGTTCCTTGTTATAATCTCCGGAAATGGGCTTTTAATCTATGATACATGAAATATAGATTTTTACTTAGGATCACTCCAAATCGTTCTAAATTAAGAAACATTTTATAAAAACATTAATATATTGATATAATAATTATAATTAGATATCCTTTTATTGTTAACATTCCTCATCAACAGGAAACCCTCAATAGTATTACAATAACTTGTGTAATATATTGTTTTTTTGGCTATATGACTCGCGTTAATTGATTGATATGTAAAAAATATTTTAACTTATCACATGTTTTTAAATTCTATTTCATTATTTTATAATCATTTAAGAATAAAAATGTTTATTTTATTAAATATTATACAATTATTGCTGTGTTTTGAGGTCAATACAATGATTTAGCCATCTGAGGAGTACAATATTCACCGAGCCCGGAGGGCGAGGTGAATATTGTACTTCGAAGATGGCTAAATCATTGTATTGACCGAAAAAACAGCAATAATTGTTTTATTATATGATTCACTAATAAAATGATAAAACACGTTACTTGTTTGCATTTAATTAAGTCCTATCCAAATACAATTAAGACAGAAGCAGAATTAAAATGTTAATCGACCTTACAGGTCTTATTCATTCTTTTTTTAAAGTTTTTTTTTATCAATTTTAGTTGCCATGAAAAAAAGAATTATGTCAGTCTTTTTTCAAGGATAGATTTTTAAAGGAAGGAGTATTATCAGGGAAAACTGACTGCCAAAAAGTAAAAATTGCTGTTCAGTAAAAGTGTTGGAGGAGTGTCCCTGCATCCCCTCTTACCACCCTCACCCGTAAATATATATTCGCTTATGTTTTCTTCACGTGAGAAAAAGTTATAGTTAGTTTAAATAGCTTTCGTATCAATTTGGAAAATCCCGATCTATTTTTAGATCAATGTAGAGGAAATAAATCCTTGTATTGACCTGGAACGTCACGTGCAGGTCAATACAGCGTAGTATTTTTCTAACATAGTTGGATATCAGCCAATCAGAGAGATGGAAATTATTCAATCATATAATAAAACTTTTTATACCCTGGATATTTAAACTGGGTTCAAAAGGCTCTGAAAGTGACCTTTTTTAAGGACCAACAATTTTACAGTTTTCTTGAAATATGTTGAAATTGAAAATATGTAAATAATATCTCATCTGTTTTTTATACACGTAGTTACTCTCCTGAATTTTTGTTATAGAGTATATGATTCAAAGGCTTTAGGGAGCTTTCTCGTAAAATATTCGGTTTTCTCTAACCGTCGGTAATCTTTATATTTTTGAGTCCTTCTCAAGAGCCACTTCGACGAATTCATCAACACTTGAGACACATCATTCTTAAATTAAGGTGATTAAAATGTGTTCAATTGAAGACCACACCTATGAGTCAATTTAAAGTTAATGACTTTTTAAATAATTTCTCAAAATAAACGACTGAACCAGATAAGACTAAACGTATCTGAAATATATGTACATAATGCTTTATCTAAATTGAGATTTAAGCTTGTTTAAATCATTCCGAACGGACTTATAGGAAAATACGCATAAGAGTATCAAATGATCATATGAATGTGTAGGAGGATATAATTAAAATTTCCTTCTCATCAGGAACACCCAAGTCATGATTAATTAAATACTAGTAAATGATATATTTTCAGATTTTGACCCCCTGTCGAACACCAGTCGTGAGCTCCTTATTATTATCTAATAAACGTTATAATTCATATTTAATATGAATAGAATGGCCTAACAATATTTATTAAATACATCAAAGTTCAGCCTAGCTGCAGTTGGTTAGCTAATTCTTCATTATATTTGCCATTGACCTGCCTCCGTTAAAAAGCTATTGATTTTCATCGAAAAATCTTTCCGAGATAAAAACACCATATGTAAGTAGTATGGAGATAACGAACAGTATTCAAGACCACAAGTCCATTAAATAATAATACAAAATAGGAACAGAACAAACACGGACCTCCAAAACATCGAAGGTGGGATTAGGTGCCATTGGCGAGTAAGCATCCCCTGCTGACCGGTGTCGCATAATATTTGGTCCGCCTCGTTTAAAGGTCCGGCCGGACCAAATACGATAACATATTAGGTCCGTCTGGCTCTATAAGAAAAGGTCCGCCCTCGGCCTACTATACAAATTTTATGCCTGTGTTTATTCGATATTAATGGAAAAACTGCTGTTTTAAAATAAATTGAGGATTTAAAGTCGTATTAATAGCTAGTGTTTCCTCCAAGAGAATGTAGTAAACAATAAGTATGAAATTAATACATAAATAAAATATTTATTAAAGAAATGTATAGATTTATTGATCGAGTTTCCTGTCGGGAAGATGGGACATGCTTATTTTGTCGTTTAAATACACTGGTATCAACATTATCATTTAAAAAATTATTAAGAATACAAATGTACATACATTTACCTTCACCGCCTGTTTACTGGCAGATTAATCAGTATGCAATGAACAGATGAATGTTCTTTGTCATGATCGGGAAATACCGTAAAAAGTCCGTCGTCAATTCAGTGTATAAATAATAGACTAACAATTAGTATGAAAAACATCAGACAGCATTTGACTCGATGATAAATTGTATTTGCTGAGAAGGTCATTGTATCGACAATAGAACTTACGAAATAGTGACTTTAAACGTGACAGCTGAAAGTCTTGTTTCATCAACTTGTTTGTCAATAATTTACCTCGTTTTGGTAATTGTTCATGAAACATATGGAGATAACATACAGTATTCTTGAAAGGTCAAAAATTCATACGTAGAATTCTCAAAGCAGACGAAAATGCAAAACATGTAAATAAGGCAAGAATAACAAACTGATTAGACAAAAATATTAACAAACTCGTTTAAGGTAGGATTCTTCTCTGATTTCTGACTAGATGGAATATTTAAAGTACATTTGTTGATATGTCTTATATATTTAGATATAAGAGATTTGCAAGATCATAATTTTTTTTCTTCATAACAATTATACAACTTTGAACAGAAATGGTAAACTGCATTTGAAAACTAGCAGGGACTATATTTTTGGCGGAATGGTGCCGTATGAAAATATCTTTTCAGCCTCTCAAAATTATTATAGAACATTGAATTTAGTTATAATTTTTACGCAATCAAAGACAAGACGAAATTTTCAAATGTAAGTTAAATTATTAAGAAGGTACTAAAGTTTCAAAATATATCAAATAATTAAGATTTTTCACACATACTAGAACAATGTTAGCTTTAAAATGCTTCAAATCTAAGAACAGATTAGAGCCAAAAATCCGTAAAAAGTGTTTTTTCTCTCTTAGTAAACGATCAAAACTTTTAGTTTTTGTATCATTTTGTACCTTTATGTGACAACTTTACTATATATGACAACTGGAAAAAGTTAAGTATAGGAAGCATATAAAAATAACTAATACATCCTAAAAATTTAAGAAAAGTAGAGGAAATTCGGATTAGAAGATATCCATTTTATTTGACATTTTTATTTCAATTATACATGTCAGTTCGGTAATATCATCTTATAGGCCCTATATGGTAGTATCTTTTTATGCAAAAAGAAAAACATTCAGTCTTTTGAATTACAAGTAGGGATCGCATGATTGAAAACAGTATTTTTTTTCTTAATGTCCAGGAAAAAGGTAATGACCTTGACCTGACTTTGCCTCTAATATCAAACTGTCAAATTTAATCTCACAGATACCACCACTTAGTGATATTGTCCTCTTGATTCTGTGAAAATTTCATAAATTTTTAAATACAAGAAATGTGAGAAGAATCCTACCTTAAGGTTTCGTCAAAGGTCAACATGTCTAAAAAATTATTTTAACAAAAGCTCCAAAACTATGTGTGGTATAAAGTCAAAACGTTCACAGTTTATAAATATATCATTGATTAATAGATAGAAAGTATCACTTGATAACAAATATTTTTAAAAAGATATTTTTTGAGAAAAGTTGTATCAGAAAATGTGCATATTTAAAGAAAAATGCACCTGCATAATTCTGTCTTTTTTGTGAAAACCATCATTGCAGAAATAATATAAGTTTATCACTGAAGGGCAAGTTGGACGGGAATGGTCTCTGAAAGGCTGTTATTGAAAGCATGACAAGACCCCTATAGAATCCGCCATTTGCAATGTACTTTCACATTAAAGTCTTAACATTTGGAAAAAATAAACAGGGAAAACAACTTTCCAGAGGCTATCCAAGTCCAACTTGCCCTTCATTGATAAACATATTGTAGCTTAAATTATTTTGTTAAAATTTTAAGCCAAGTTTATTTTATACAATTTGCCAAAGCCCTTCCCCTTATGCCTCTTGTTTACGTTTACCAATATTATGCAATAGGCATGCAGATTTTTGTGTCCATCAGTCATTGGTCAATAGGTCAAGAGTAGCAAGTCACGTGACTTCTTATCTTTTGATGGTCCTGGACAGCGTCAGTACCAAGCTATTATTGTCTTCATTAATCCATAGGATTACTTAATAATCATCGATCATCCGATTTGTGTGTTTGTGTATTTACTTTCTGTGTACTTAAATTGTGTTTTTGACGATGTAATTCTGGGAAAAACACTTCATTAATTAGTGAAATTGTGATATAAAAATCACGTATCTCAAAAACAACAATGGCGACCAGGAGAAGTGCTAAAAGACAAAGAACCTCCGGTGATTCTCTTGACATGACAAATTATTTAAATTGGTCCGCCGTTGTTCTTCGTGAAAAACTGTTAGAGGCGAATATAAGCGCTTCTTCCAATTTTCCTATCTCTGTGTTGCGTAAATTGTACCAGGACAATGTGTTGGGAAAAGATATTGACGCTTCAAACAGACAAATTGAAAGCAGGGCCATCGATGTGAATACCGCGGAGAATTCCGACCACACAAACGGTTTTCCCGGACAATCTTTGAATCTCCAAAGTTTGCCTGCGGTATCCGTAGCAAATACGACATCCTTTCCAAGTACGACTTATCCAAGCGCAACTACTTCCGGTGGAAACCCAAGCTCAGCTACTTCGAGTTCCCCAGCAGTTATCGAGTCGCTTGTGCACACAGTTCAAAGCCTCCAAACGATGGTCTCGAGTTTAACTACCCTTATTTCAACGAAAGACACCAACTCTAACAGCTTGCCGTCATTTAATTTACAGCAGTTCTACCAAACGGTGAACGAAAATACTCAGAGCCCGAGGAAATTCGGCACGAACCCGGAGGAATTGCCCCAAATGGAATTGATTTCCAATTCCATCCGGAAAAACATCATCGACGGTAAGGATATTAATCTAGCTACATTGCTCATTCCTTATTATGAAATTACTACCTCAGAAAAAGAGAAACCAGAAAAGGAAGATATCCGACTTAAAAGGTGCCTCACCATTGCGGAGTTTTTAACTGCTTTCGGAAAATATAAACGATGCATGTGCCAGGCATTCCCTAATCGCCGAGAGGAACTTGATCAGTACGAAGCCAATATCATCGACATATACAATGTTTATGGAGAAAGGTTTTACGAGTATCACAAACTATTTTCTCTTAGGAGTGCCAATGCCTTGGCTGTTCACAAAATTAAAGTGGACTGGTCCGTGAGAGACAGAGATCTCATTCAACTGATTGCATCAAAATCCAGATCCTGCTCAATCTGCGCAGAAGTTTCTCATGATACTAGGTTTTGCCCACAATCACAGAGCAATGCAACAGCCACTTCTCATCAATCAAACAGTAATACAGATAAGCACGGCAGAAAGAGGCTTTTACATGATGGTCAAGAAATTTGCAATAATTTCAATTCTACTAGGAAATGTGGAAGGAACAACTGCCCTTTCCTTCATATTTGCAGCCATTGCAAGAACAAGGAACATTCATTGCTCACTTGCAATGCTAAATCCTCCAAATCTAAGAATATATCTTCCTCTACTGCCAATCCAAAATGACTACCTGTTCCAGGATCTCCATGCTCAACAATTAACATTCATCAGTTGAAACTAGAACTTGAAAATCATGACAATCCTAACTTTGTTGCTTACATTCTAGATGGTTTTACTAACGGATTTGACACTAAAGTGCAGAAAACAGACTTGAAAACACGAGAATGCAAAAACTTGAGGTCAGCTTTACAGAACATGGATACAGTTGACGAGTTGCTGTCAAAGGAAATTGAAAAAGGTTTTCTTTCAGGACCTTATGAGGAACCTCCTTTTGAAAACTACAGAGTGTCTCCTCTAGGAATTGCCGAACATAAGTATTCTAAAAAGAAAAGGCTAATCGTAGATCTTTCTGCACCTCACAACAATGAAACTCACCCTAGTATAAATGAACTCATTGACAAAAATCAATGCTCTCTTTCCTATGTGAGTATTGATGATGCCATCAAAATTATTGTGCAAAATGGTCAAGGCTCTCTGATGTGCAAGACTGATATCTCAGATGCCTTTAAACTTATTCCCATATTACCTTCTCAGTACCATTTATATTGTGTGAAGTGGAGAAATTTATACTATTACTACACTCGTTTATCCTTTGGATGTAGATCTAGTCCAAAGATCTTCGATCAGTTTTCCCAAGCAATTTGCTGGATAGCACAAAACAATTACAAAATCGAATCTATACTGCATTTGCTGGATGACTTCCTAACCATAGATAAACCAGATTTTGATGCGGATCGGACCATGGCCCTCCTGACAATGATCTTTAAAAAGCTGAACGTTCCAATTGCTTTACACAAGACCATGGGCCCAGAGACTGTTATGGAATACCTTGGAATAATTCTCGATTCTTCTAAAATGCAAGCACGACTTCCTCTAGATAAAGTTCTTAGAATACGAGAAATGTTGGAAACTTTCAGCGTGAAGAAAAGCTGTACAAAACGTGAACTGTTGCAACTTTTGGGACATTTGAACTTCGCCTCTCGTGTAATTGTACCGGGTAGATCATTTGTTTCTTATTTGTTGAGCCTAGCATCTTCTGTGCGCGAGCTTCACCATTACATTCATCTGACCTCAGAGTGCAGAGAAGACATCAGAATGTGGAAATTTTTCTTAGATCAGTGGAATGGCATATCATTTTTCTATGATATCGAAAGAACTCCAGCTAATAGTATGCATTTGTATACAGATGCATCATCTACCCTTGGATTTGGGGGATATTTCAAAGGTCACTGGTTCAGTGACAAATGGCCAGATGATTTACCAAGTGAACAAGACAAGGACATATCTATGGCACTCCGTGAACTGTACCCTATCGTCGTAGCTTCCATTCTCTGGGGACATCATTGGTCTACCAAAAGAATACTTTTTTATTGTGACAACTTAGCTACTGTGAATATTATACAAAAGGGGCGATCTAAAGTTCTTTCTATTATGAAACTAATGAGACAGTTAACCTGGTGTTCAGCTAAATTCAATTTCTGCATTTATTCTGAATTCCTTCCAGGTAAAACTAATGTAATCGCAGATGCTTTATCTCGATTTCAGATAAACAAGTTCAGAAGCCTAGCTCCTCAAGCAGACAGACACCCTCATCCTTGCCCACCCCTGCAGGATGTCCTTTGGAAACCTCTCACAGAATAGAAGCTTTGATGGAAGACTCCATATCCATTTCAACTAAAGCTACGTACAACTCCGGATATCAAGCCTTCTTAAAATTTAGTCGTATGAACAACATGTGTCAAAGTGTGTCAGAAGCTGCTTTAATGGAATTTGTCACCTACTGTTACGATTCCATGAACCTGACTTACCAAACAATCAAACTTTACCTCTGCGGAATTCGACACCATCTCATTCTGCTCGGTATACCTAACCCTTTCACCGATTCGGCAGGTAATCTACCTAGATTGCACATGCTACTAAGCGGTATAAAAAGACAAAGTCAATCCTACCATCCAAGCCGACAACCTATTACTTACAATGTGTTACAAGACATGTGCAGCGTGCTTCAAAACGGTGTGAATTCAAAATACATGGATACGTTAATGACAACAGTGTGTGTAGTGGCTTTTTTCGGCTTCCTCAGATGTGCGGAATTTACATGCAAAGCAGCTTTCGACCCTCACATTAATCTGTGCGTAAGCGACCTACAATTCTACAATGACCACGTCGTTCTCTTCCTTAAACAATCCAAGACTGATCCGTTCCGAAAAGGATTAGGGATCAAGTTGTTCAAAAATAATTCCGTATTATGTCCATTTGAACAACTAAAGAAATACTTAGCTACAAGAAATGCCATTTTTGACCCAAAAATGCACCTCCCCCTGTTCATCATGGAAAATGGAAGTGCCCTCAGTCGGTGTAATTTTTTGACTATGTTAAGGGATTTACTGAAGCGTTCAAACCATGGCGACAGCTACATCACTGGACATTCCTTCCGAATTGGTGCTGCTACATCTGCAGCAAAAGCGCGCATCGAAGACCACCTTATCAAATCACTAGGAAGATGGACCTCCGATTCATATACGCGATATATCAAAACACCAGACTCAGCCATTAAACACGCGCAACAGTCCATGCTCACCACCAGTTGACTTCTGCAAGAGATTCTGTAAACATTGTTTAACAGTCTGATGACTCGAACATCATTGTGAATGTGTACATAGTGTTTAATTCTCAAATTTTTTTTTTTTTAAACTTGTTGTTTCCTGATTACAGAGTAACTTTTTATGCTCTCATTCAAATTTAAGTATTGTTTATAACTTGCTTTGTATTTCTTGTGTCGTTATCATGTTGTTATAATTTTTTTTTTTTTTTTGTATAAAACAGCTTACTATGTTGCTGCCTAAGACGTTATTTGTAAAAATTTTCTTTTGTCTCGGTTAAATCTTGTTCTTATTTTCAATTGAACTCATAGTTAACATGTATGTATTACCATGGCGTACAATTATAAACACTTATGGGGCACTCAGTCACTCAAAATTTCTTTTTTTTTTCGTTCCTGAGTTTTGGCCTTATTATTGTCATAATTTCCCCATTACAATTTTATAATCAGCTAAAACTTCCTTTTTGGTAAAATTCTAGAGCAGAGTTTACAACTTTCGTTGTAGCAGTACACTCGTACTGGGGAATTTCTACCATGTGGATCTTCCAACTCTGTCTTGCTGGGTTCAACAATTTTCGTTGTGGCGATGTCTCACACATCGGGAAGATTCTACCATGTGGATTCTTCAATCCAGCAAGTTCTCATGGGTGACTGAGCCAGTTTTCGTCCAGTATTGTGTAATTGAATTTGTAATGTAAATATTTTTACTTGTCTTATTTGTTGTTGGTATTTACTATAATGTTGTAAGATAAAGAATTCTTGAACTAGATAAAGACTTTTGAAATATCATACTTTGTTTTGTATTAGAAATAAATTGTAGCTTAAATTATTTTGTTAAAATTTTAAGCCAAGTTTATTTTATACAATTTGCCAAAGCCCTTCCCCCTTATGCCTCTTGTTTACGTTTACCAATATTATGCAATAGGCATGCAGATTTTTGTGTCCATCAGTCATTGGTCAATAGGTCAAGAGTAGCAAGTCACGTGACTTCTTATCTTTTGATGGTCCTGGACAGCGTCAGTACCAAGCTATAAACATACATGTATTTTGTTTCTGAAATAATGGTTTTCACTAAGAGCGCTGAATTAATTGGGTGTATTTTTTGAAAATATAAACATTTTTAAGAAGACTTTTTCTCAATTAATATTTTTCCAAGTATTTTTTTTTCAAGTGATACTTTCTATCTGTTAATCAATGAATAATTTATAAACTGTAAAAGTTTCAACTTTATACCTCACAGAGTTTTGGGGCTATTAAAAAACGAATTTTTTGACATGTTGACCTTTGACGAAACCTTACAGTAGACATTTCGTTTGTATGCATCGTGGATTAATATAAAAGGTAGCAATTGTCGCTTCGCCATTTGCTTAGCACTTTGAAATGAAAGTTGCGGATCCTTTGGATGAGACCTTAAAAACCGAGGTCCCGTTTCACGGCATGTGTTAGCTCGATATAGATCCTTCACAGCCCAGTGGTTGTGAGTGCTGAGTCTAAATTTCAATTTCAACTCTGATGAATAGTGACGTCTCTAATTCTGTACATAAAAAGAACCATCACTCTTACAAAACAAACTTAAACACACATCAGACACTCGGAGTTAATTTCCTTATGCAACCAAAACAATCGAATTTAAGATATAATTATCTATCAGTATTATAGGTTAAACAACATTACTTTACTACAATTTAGCAAAATGTGCGTACCTGAGCACACGTAAACCAAGAAAGGGGTTGGTCACAAATACAAGACATATTATTAGTAGTAAAATTTTAATACGATAATATAATAATTCTAAAATTAACAGTATCAAATTAGTATTGAAATAAAAAAAACATCGCATCTTGGTCATATTATATTCTCCCAATGAAACAAATGCTGAAGGAGGTTTCTATTTATCTATTTATGTAATGTTTATTGTCTACAATTAACTTATCAAAATAATTATTGATTCCTTTGCATAGTCCTCTAAAAATGATCCCTTTGCCAGCAAAATAAATTTCAGAAATAATTCAAATTAGAAATGTGAAAAGATGATTTACGGTGTATTAGTGTTAAACTTTTGAAAGTACAAAAACATGATTCGGGAAACCTAGGAAATACGATACAAGAAGATCTTGAACAATTTTCAAACTCACTAGTCCATTCAAAGAATAAATTAGGCAAACATGGACCTTGAAAACATCAGGAGTGGAAATAAGATAAAAGGAGTAGGCATCACCTGTCAACCGGTCACAATTTTCCGTGTTATCCTTGTGATTGGAGAAACGAAAAAAACGTAAATAATTCAGTATGAAAACTAGAGCCGAGCTCGTTGCAAAGCAACGAGTAGGTCTTCCGTTGGAGCTGTGGACAGGAAGTGCCGACCTTGGGTCAAGGTCACTTCACTTTCTTATAAGAACAACCTCTATTCTAAGTATGAGCCTCTTGTGAATCTTAATTACAAAGTTATGGTTAAACATTTTTTCTCTCTGTCAGTGACTTTGATTTGCCTTCATCAAGGTCATGACACATCTTCTAATTATAAATAATCTATGTTTCAAGTACGAGCCTCCAATGATTTTTATTTATTAATTCGTAGCGTGGAAAAGAAAACATTTTTTCTGTAGGTGACCCTGATCTCTATACAGAATTACCTTAAATCTGTGTCAAGACAAACCCTCAATCTCAAACAATTTTTTTTTATTAAAAATTCATAAACCTGACAGGCATTTTACAGCTTTTTCTGTCAGTGACCCTGAATTTGTTAAAATGGCATTATTTTTAGTCACGGAAACGGAGAAACGGAGGAAACGGAGGACCATAAGCAGTCGATCAAAGGCCAGATTGAATTTATACTATTTTCTGAATCAAAATAATACAAAACCTTTTTCTCACAAGAAATCTCTGTATCAAGTATGAGCTTCCAGATATTCTCGATTACATATATAAATGGCTCGGACAAAACATTAACTCTTTCTCTAGTGACCTTAAATTTGTCGTAATATTGTCTTGAACCAATGCCATGACACACCCTAGAGCCATTGGAAATCTTTGTATCGAGTAGTATGAGCTCCCAGATTCTACATAAATTTAAAGCCTGGCCTGGGAAAACCTTGAGAGGCAGAAGGACAGCTGGACAGTGAAAAAGACAATGTTATTCCAAACCCATCCACCCCCACCCCACCCCCAAAATACACAATTACTTTGTTTGCGGTGGTACATCTTCCTATTTAAAATTTTGAATACCTATTCCGGTCATGATTTGAAAAATAGTAATCTTTATTACATGTATATCAGGAAGCTTTCGTACGTATGGTTTCTCATTCTTGCCCAAAAGTTCGTGAGAATATTTTTTTTAAAGACCCCCTCCTAATTTAGCTAATCGTTTTTCTACAATATCTTCATTCTATATCCCCCCCAAGGTTGCTGATCATGATGAAAAACACGTTAGGCCGAAACAACATGGGTTTATACACGCCGTTCAATTTATTTACATTTTACATACAGGAGGAAGCGCATGGATGAAAGATTAAAGAAAATTCCGGATGTACAACAGCACCCGTGCATGGACTTCATTTTAGTACTACATATTGTGCTTGAAGTTGAATAATATCTATAAATAAATTTAATTAAAATAGGAAACGGAGATTATTTTTAATAGAATAAATTAGACAATATATTTGATACAAGAACTATCTGATAAATACATGTATATATATGAGCAAGGCGAGTCTCTCTCTCTCTCTCTCATTCATGTATTTTTTAACCAAGAAAAATAATTAGCGTAAGATACAAGTTCATTATTTTAAAGAAAATACTCAATTACATGTACATGATGTATATACGGTAAACGATACAAATGGTTTGATTATGCTGTCGGTTATGATTTTAACAATTAAAATTAAGTCGTGAAAATGTAGTAATTACATGTAATAATGATAAATTTGTAATATTCAGTACCTGCAGATTGTAATAAAAGTTCTTAAATTTTCAGTTCTGGAAATACGATGCAGGTTTAATATTACTTCTTACATGTATAACCTGCTACCGATATTTAATCACGGAACAAATGAAAATTAAATGTTAGCACATTATACATGCTATACTTAACAAAATAATTTACGGTTTTTGAATTAATTATAAAAACAAATTAAGTTTGCTTCATTGCTTTAAAATCTTAAATTATTTTTTCAACTTTACTATCAAACCTGTAATATAAATAGGCATTGCGCAGCACAGAAGTCGCTTATGAAGTTTAGACGTGCCAGAGTTACATGAACCTATCGATGTTTAATCCATTTCATTGACTATAATTCTATCCATATGATCCGGAGGATTCTTTTTAAAAGTTTAAAGTTGGTATAACCATATGGGAAATAATCTGTGATAGGGAAAAATGTGTATGAGAAAATTTTGTTATTGAAAACGGATTTATTAAATCAATAATGGTTCAAGTAAAGTAACTGCAGATCGCTAGTCCTTACGCAATGTATCATCAAAATGAAAAGTAAAGTTACAAATGATGCTAACGAATATTTAAAAAAAAAATAACAAAGACTGATTAATGTAAATGTCCCAGCGTTTTGTACTAAAAATAAAATCTAAGGCATTTTAAGATGGCGGTATTATATAGAACACTCAAGTCTTGTACTGCTAAATAAAATCGTTCGTTCATCGAAATGAATTTGAATGGGAAAAAATCTCTTAATATTTATCTTAATTCACATTTATAATTTTCCGAATGGAATTGCGGGGACGATGAATGAAAACCACGTATGCAAATTGGTATGCTGATCGTTCAAATACACATTATTGCGATCTACGCGATGATTTTTTTCCCGTGAATTAGAAACTTCACTCCCACTTACAATTATCATGCATGTGTACGTGTAGTTTAAGATTCATAAAACAATTACCACCTCGATAAATACAGAAAAATAAATTGTTGCAAACCCAGCTATTAATTGTTTATTCGGCTATTAAAAGGCATGGAACTTGAAATGAATAAATACACAAGCGATTAGGACTGATTAAAACAAGCGTAAAATAGAGTGAAATTAAATAAAATGAAAGAGTTAACATGATTTCAATTGTTGCGTGAGCAGGCCAAAGAAAGCGATTAAAATTCAAAATGATTTTATGCAACCAGTGTTTGGAATAAGATTATATAAAAGATCGGTAAAGTAATCTTATTTATTTGATATGATTAAAAACATAATTTCCCATTAATGAATAGTTCTTTGTACAAGATATATTTTAAACACGATCACAAATACTTGTTTTGTTTATACCACAGGTGGCTAGTACACTGGTGACCTCGTGGGAATCGCGCGTTATCATGGTTATATTACATAACTGAAAACATCGAGCTGACGCGGAACTTGGAGATCGTAATATGCATACAGCTAATGATGTCAATTATTCAATGCATACAGTTTAGAATTACTTACATAGTTTGTTGTAATAATAAACGTATAAAGATAGATTTAATATTCTCCGCTTTTGAACACTATTAAACTAACTAAAAAAGAAGAAAAGAAAGACTAGTTGTAATAGATAATTTAATAGCGAATCATAAAGCACGTTTAAAACCTTATTTAAAAGAAAATTAACATTAAATACCGTTGGGTATATAATTGATGGCAAGTCTGTTTAAGTTAAACACATGAAGAGGCCTGATTTCCTTTCCGATTGGAAAACGCTACCTGTTTACCTGGCCTGCTTTCTACTACGTATTATGCAATACCCCCTGTATAATCGAACAAAACAACATTTTCCTCAGATCAAAAAGGTGTAAAAGAACAATTTTG